AAGAAACAAATTAAAATCCACACAGGCAATATTAGGCCAAATGAAGATATACAAAATCATGCCATTTTTTTATTTTCAAGAACTCTTCAAGGCAACCTGGATTAAAAAACAACAATTGATAAAAGAGTTTTATTTGCTATTCTTCCTTTGACATATATTCTGAAGTAGATACTGTCATATTCTTAGACAAAATGAAACGATTGCTTAACATTTGGTATTAGTATTGTTATTATATTTTTAGCATTCACATTAGATCCTGTGTTATGGTGGTGCCAAGCCTGGATGAGAAAGGAGGAAGTTTGGGCATCGGTCTAGTAACCTGTTCCTGTAAAAATTATAACTATTACAGAAACAGCAATAACAATTTCTGTTGTTATTATATCGTATAAAGAATTTAAACTCTGTATACAAAAGCAATGAAACACAACACACCCATTCCTTGTTTAGCGACTATCTCACTTAGCGACCATTTGCAAATACAATTGTAATAAAAAACTCACTTTCTGACCAATGCATACATTTACAACTAAGTTTGTATGCTTGACCACAACACATTTTAGAGTGAAAGTAATACTGGAGCAACTGATGGAAGACATCATCTGAATGAGATGGTAGTAACTAAGAATCTTCCTAGTATCTCTTTCTCTTTGTCAGGTATTCACTTAGCAACTATTTTGCTTAATGACCTGGTTGTTGGAAATGGAACTGAATAAGTAAATAAGGAATGGGTCTACAGCAGGGGTGTCAAACTGGCGGCCTGCAGGCCTGACGTGTCACACGCAGGCCATGCCCAACCCAGCTCTACAAATGCAAAAAGCATCAAAATATATATTGTGACACGATTGAATCTGATATCTGTGGTTTACAGCCTCTACTGTCAGTATCACAGTGCTTTGGCCACACCTTGCCAATAACATGAACACCAAGCCATGTCCACCCAGTCACATGACCAAGCCATGCCCACCAACTAAGCCACGCCCACAGAACCGGTTGTTAAAAAATTTTTTTAAATTTAATCCCACCCCTGGTATACATCTACATTAAGAGGTCGAGAATGTGATTACCAGTCAAATTCAACAAATGCTCCCTTCATCAATTGCCTACAACAGCAACAAAGCAGTGCTTGAATGAATTGTAATGCCATTCTGCTTCTTTTCAGATAGCAAAGTCTGCCTTGAAATTTTCACTTCCTTTTTTCGTGTACTTTGAAATTATTGTTTTCTCCTATTCCAATAAACATTGCAGAAAATACTTTCTTTGGTCTTGTTTAACTATCTCACTGTTTCATTTAGTGCCCATTCAGACATACGACAGCGATTAAAAAATAACTTTATGACCAATATTAGCATTTAAAAACTTTGTAGATCTGTAAAGCAAAGGAAGCTGAAGTAAGATGATAAGTGTTTTCATTAACAACTAGTTGTGGTTGGTAAACGAGGACTACATATAATAGGATTGAAAATTATATCAGCAAAAAATATTTAATGTGATTCTTATGTGAACTGTCAGAATGGAGCACTTTAATATGTGTGTGTGTGTGTGTGTGTGTGTGTGTTTTAAATGCTACAATAATAAGATGTCTTCTAGTTTTTAAACAAACCAGTGAGCTTTTTAAAAGATGAATTAGAAAGATAGACAAAAAAATGTAAACCTGCCATAATATTAAATACCTCTTCATTGCATATGTATTAACTAGAGCAAGAAACTGCAAAGAGGTTGGGAATATGGCTCAAGAAATCTTTAAGAAATTGTCCCAGGTCACATCAAGAATGACTTCCATTGTGGAAATAAGAGTTAATTAAGAGATTGGTTAATTACTTAATAATCTTATGACTCCTAATATGAAATATGATTTTGATCTGAGAAAAAATCTACCCCAAATTAAATATATCACATATTTGTATGTGAAATTTTCATTCTTATATCTGGGAATAAACTGCACAAAATTTAACGGGGTTAGGTTTTTATTGCATTCTAAATGATTGCACCTGTTGATGATATGTACAGAATTTTGGCATACTTCTGACAATATGTGAACGTACCAAAAGTTACTCTGGTCTTAATTTATTGCATGAGCAACTAGAACTTTCCCCTTCCGACAAGAAACTTTTCTTGAAGCTGCAGTGTGAAAATACAGATACAAATACAGATAGTCCTCTACTTACAACCACAATTGAGACCAGAATTTCCATCACTAAGCATGGTGTTGTTAAGTGAGTCGTACCCAATTTTACAAAGATTTTTTTGCCAAGATTGTCATGTGAATCAGTGCAATTGTTAAACAAATCCAGCTTCTCCTATTGAGTTAGCTTGTTGGAAATGAGTGGAGAAGGTTGCAAATAATGATCACATGAACCATCATAAATACATGCCAGTTTCCAAGTGCCCAAATTTTGACCACGTGGTTATCAGGATGCTGGGATGGTTGTAAGTGTGGAACCTGTTGTAAATCTCTTTCTTCAGTGTCATTGTAATTTCAAATGGTTGCTAAATGAATGGTTGTAAGTCAAGGACTGCCTGTAGGAGCAGGTATGAAATGAAGTAGAGATATATGCTGATAAGTTTTGGAAACTGACCATGTACATCCATAAATGAATCTCAATTTAACTATAAAAACAGATTATAGCAAACAGATTTCCTACCAAGTTTGTCAAATAATAACAACAAAGTTCCCAGTCTGAACTGAAATTGCTTGATGAAAAGCAAAACATCAAGGTTTGTAAAACTAGCCAAAGGATTTAGAGCTCTTATATAAACTTATTCTCTAATTAGACATCAGAAACAGATGGTTTATTCAACATTGTGGGCTGCTGCCCTGCATTCAGATACATATTTTGGTTACATCACATGTTATAAATGCATTACCCCTTTGAGATGTTGTTTTTCTTTATGTTTTTTAATCTGCTTCCACATAATTTATTTGGTTTTGTTTTTTGTACACCACCCAATATCTTTGTGGGAGATGGGCAGCTATGTAAACTTGATAAATACATAGGTACTTCAGTAGGGAGATAGAGGATAGATAGCAATAGCACTTAGACTTATATACCGTTTCACAGTGCTTTTACAGCCCTCTCTAAGCGGTTTACAGAGTCAGCATATTCCCCCCCAACAATCTGGGTCCTCATTTTACCCAACTCGGAAGGATGAAAGGCTGAGTCAACCTTGAGCCTGGTGAGATTCGAACTATCAAAGTGCAGTCAGTCAGCAGAAGTAGCCTGCAGTACTGCATTCTAACCACTGCATCTCCTCGCCTTGGATAGGTAGGCAGGTAGGTAGACAGATACTTTAGTTTGAACCGCAAAGTGATATACAAGACTTCATAGCTGCTGGAAGAAGAGCTGATGAACTGTACCCACTCACTGAATACTGAAATATCAGCTTACTATACAGGCAATCCTTGATTTATGATTGTAACTGAATTCTCAACTACAGTTGTAAGTTATCACATGACCATATCAGATTTTATTTATCTTTTTTGCAGCGGTTATTAAGTGAATGTTGCAGTCATTTAGTGGACCCAATGGTTTCTATGGGGCTTTTTTTTTTGCTAAAAACTGGAAATAAATGCTAGTTTCTGGCAAAAATGTTTTAAATCATGGACATGTGATAGCAGGATGCTGCAAATGCCGTAAACGTGAGTCAAATTTTTGACTACTGAAAATGCAGTCATGTTATTGTGGGGGAGGTGGTTATTGGAACTTTGAATCTGGATCCAAAGTAGCTTTTTCTGGGGTCCACCATAACTTTGAACTGTCTCTAAGTGATTGATGTAAGTCAAGGACTACATGTATATTGGATTGGAAGAATGCCAATCTAACCACAGTGTTTTCTTTTAAAAGGAAATACAAAACACAACTCAACACTGCATGTCTGGAAAGATTTAAACACATAACGAAGTTACATGAAATTATTGAAATTTATTGAAGTTATTGAAATTTCAAGGCTATATTGAAATATTGAGAAATAGGGCCAGGACAAAATTGTTATTTTATGGCCAAGCCTGCAGCTCTTTTTCAAAAGGGCCAAATTCAAGTCAGGTCTTGTAAAGATTGTGCTTTATTGTAGAAAAACATTTTAATTCATTCTTTGCATGAAGAAACAGGCTTGGCAATTACTTTCTCACCAACCCAACCCACAACTGCTAAACCATCACCAAATGGCATGACGGGACTGGGCAGGTTGAAATCTGGGGCTGTTAATAGATGCACATTTAAGATCAATTTCTAAGTAAGGCTGTAATCACATGGCATAATAATCATAATAATAATCACTATAATATACAGTAATCTATCAATTGGAAAATATACTTTCAATCCTTAACTCCTATGCACGTTCTATTTCAAAGTGATTTAATTAATACTCCACTGGATTATAGTCCATTTGTTTCGTTTCTATCTTTTCGCCATGGTCTTCCTTTCCATTTACTGGCTCGTTTCCCTTGGCAAACCATTTTGGGGTGGAACTCCAAAGGAATTCTTCTAGTCTGAACTTGCATCGAGTATGACCAGCGCTTACCTGCTTCTCACTCGCACAACATAGTACACAGATCTGGTCGAACTGCACTCACCTTCCGGCCTAACCCAACGCGCTTCACCTCATGTCGCGGCGAGGGAAAGGAAACGTCCACTCTGAGAGATTAGCCGCTAATCGGATTTAGGAGTTTCTACCCAAGATCCCTTCCCTTCTATTTTTTTCTTTTTATGCCCGGGCCTGGCCCCTGTAGACATCTGGAGGAAATCCAATCGCCGCTATAAACAATAAACTCCGGGAGCGGAAAGGCGGTTTTCCTAAGTCCGAAGCGAAGCTTAAGCGCCTCCTCAATTGCTGTCGCAAGTCCAGCCTCTGAGCCGCGCCTTCCTCCTCCCTTCCTTTCACTTGCTCTTTGCTTAGCTCTGTCGCCAAGGCCTGGCAGGCGAGAGAGAGAGAGGAGTGGTGGGGGTGGAGGAGGAAGCGGGCGGGGAGCCCAGCATTGCCGAGGGAGCAGCAGAATCAAAACAAGCGAGACACGCCTTTCCCCTGGCTTGCATTTCTTCCGCGGCGAGGCGTCTGTGGACGCGCGCCCGCGCATGTGAGTGAGTGAGAGTGAGAGTGTGTGTGAGTGTGAGCGTGCGTGCATGCGACAGGGCCGCGGTGCGTGAGCGAAGGACGAGTGTGCTGCTCCGCCTGACAATGGAGCTGCAATAGGCGGGGGTAGCAGCAGCAGCAGCAGCACCAGAGGCAGCAGCACTGCCACCAAGAGCCTCCGCCGCCTCCTCCTCAGCCTTCCCGCTGCGACCCGCTCCTCCTCCTCCTCCCTTGGCGATGCCGAACCAGAAGAGTAACAAGGGCAAGAAGAACAAGCGCGCCAACAGCAGCGGGGACGAGCAGGAAAATGGAGCCCTGGCCGCAACGGGAGCTGCGGGCGCCGGAGGAGTCCTGGCCGCCGTGGCTGCGGTCGGAGCAAGCGGGCCCGTGGCGGCTGCAGGAGGTGGAGGAGGAAGCTCCGGGGGAGCGACGGCGGCGACGGGCTCGGCTTCGAGCGACTCCAAAAACGGTAGGAACCTACGGGACGGAGATGGAGGAAGAGAGCGAGCAAGCGTGCGGCGTGCAGCCACCAAACTTCACTCGCTGGCTCTTCTTTTTGTTTGTTTTTTGTTTTCTTCCCTGCTTTTACCGGATGGGCAGAGTCGGAGGCGCCCCTGCGAGTGGCAGAGCTGCCGGGCCTTCGATGGCGCAGCAGCCCTTGGATGGGAGAAGCGGAGCGGGCCAGCATGTAGATGAGCCAAAGGAAAGCGCGGCCCTTCGCTTTCTTGGCTTGAGTTGCACCGCCAGCCCGCACGGGCGCGCGGCCTGCCACCGGGTCTCGGGAGTGAGAAGTTCGAACGCTTAGCCGGGCTGAAAAGAGCCCGCTTGCCCGGCCCACGTGCCCCTTCCCCGCTCTTTCGACCCCTCCAAGGGTTGTGCGGGGACGTAGTGGTCCCAAAGACGGGCTGCATCCGTCCCCCCACCCCAGACGTTGCATTTTCGGTCTAAGGAGAGCGGGTGGGTTTTGTTTTGTTTGTTTTGTACCTTCTGACGGATTTCCTCCTGTCTTTCTCCGCCCCCGCAATAAAGGTAATTTCTTGGGGAACTGAAAACTCTTTTATGCCCTCTCATTTCGTGCCCAAAAAGCGAACCGGTGAGGTTAAGTAGAGACGTGTCTGTCTCCTTCAGAATGACAGTTTTAAAGATGGGCCGGACGAGAAAAAGCCCATGCTGTGGCATACTTTACATAAAAGTGATCCCAATCAAAGGTGCGGGGGGAAAAAGGCAAGGAAGTCGTCCCCCTCCCGGCCCCCTGCTAAAGTATGTCTCTCTTACTTTCGGTTTCACATGGCCGGCATGTTTTGATTAAAAATATGCTCTGGTAAAGTTGGAGTCTCAGTACTCGGACTCAGCTGAGTAGGAAGTGTCATATGTTCAAGCCTGTCTTCATTATTACTATGAAGAGATGGGTCTTGTTCATGTGCATGGCTTGTAATGTTTCCCTCATTGACACCCGCCTCCAATCTTTCTGCAATTGCTGTCTTCCCACATGCATGCTGAGCAGTCCTTCGTGTCCCACACAATTGTGAGCTTGGTATCTGTGGGGAATGACCCCTCTCAGCTTTATTCAGATATCAGAGTTATAATGGCTAGATGCTTCTATTTTTTTAAAAAGACAGAACAGACCGCTGATGACAGACTTCTATATTTGCCACAGGATGGTTTGCAGGGTAGCAGAGCTTAGCTGCAGCTGTGCCTTCATCTCACTCTTATCAACCTGCCCACAACTTAAAATAAAGTGAAACAAAAAAATTGCCCTTCCTGCTCTTCACTCTCTCTACTGAACTAAGTTAGAGAAGGGGGGGGGGGGCTCTTAATCATTTTATGAACCTTTCACATGCTTTAGCTTCCCAGTGATCTTTTTCTCTAAACTCAGAATGTAAGCACAGTACCTAATATTTTTTAAAAATGGCATGTGTGAAACATTTCCCTACTTTCTTCTGATAGCTGCCAGGTTAGTTTTATGTGTTGGTGTTACAAGAACACAAGAACAAGCTTTTTTGTTTTGCTTTTTGTGTTTGAAAATGGTTATCAGAAAATTTTCATCAGAGAATTCTTATTTTATTTATTTATTGCTTATTTAAATTCTTATTTTATTGATTGCTAGTCCTTGCTGGAGTGTGCAAAACACTGCAAATACTTGGGCAAATAATGATCTCTGAGGAATTTGTAATAATATGTGCGCATGACAGTGAAATAGAGGAGATGCATCTGAAAATACAGTCTCCTGTTCATAGCAAAACAAAATTTAAATTCTGCAATCTCCTAGGAATAGCTTCCAGCACAATGCCTGCTGGTGATGAAATATAGCAATCTGATATTTTGTACTAAATTTAGGACACATGCTGATGTTCAGCACATTTGGATGAGGTCTAATAATGTATGGATAACTATTTTTATATCTTAGTAAGGATATATTCCCAGACATTGGCACCTTATTTGATAACTGACAAAAACATAAAAAGAGGCTGTAAAAATATTAAATCTGTATATACTGTTAAATCTTTTACAATCGGGAAATCAGGAATTCTTGGCTAATCAAGCAGTTTTTGTTGGTAGTTACTGTGGTTAAACTCCTTTAGTCTGAAATGTTATTGTAACAGCTTTGATATAACTGAAACTTTTTCTGTTTAATCTTATGAGTAATTTTTATAGAAGAAATATATTGAAATAGGGCCAATATGGCTTTGGAAGATACATGAAAGTCATCAAAATACTTGTGTGACCCTTGCAGACTTGGTGAAATCCTGGAATTCCAGATTGCATTCTGCAAGAAGCTGCTATTTTTTACAATAGACAAAATACATGTAGAATATTGTCATATAAATATTTGAAACGGAAACATATTAAAAACAAATTAGGAGATCGAATCCATTTGTTTTTCCAGATATCTTGACCTCAAAGATCATGATTCAGAACATCAAGGAAATTACTATATTTTTCTGGAACAGACTTGTATTTTAAAAAATTGGTTTGTAGGAGGTTTTTTAGTAAAAAATGTGCCTTTTTTTAGTGTTATGAATTGTATTTACAGAGGAGATGGAGAAATATGTCCTGGCTGTAGATCTAGAACCTGATTAGTGGGAAGGTAATTGGTACTGGATCAAAGTGACTATAAATTAGATATTGCTTAATTGAGAGTTGTGAGTAAGAATACATAGCAAGTATTCTTCAAATACTTGAAATAAAAGCTTCAATACATAAATCTATTTAACTGATGAGACCAGGGTGATAAATCAGTTTTATTATTTTGCTTAATGTTGCTGTCCCAAATATTTAACTTTTCATGAAATGTATTTCTTGTGATTTCTGTAAGAATATATTGTAGATCAATGTTTCTTAAACCGAGGAATTTATTGGAAGATGTACAGTATAATACAAATATTAAGAATAATATTTAATTTTCAACTTTTTTGCATTTAAGTGAACATAGTTCTAAAAACTCATAACTTGTCCCTGAGGTAGCTTGTGGTGAATGAAGTTATACAACAGTATAATTTAATTTCTTTACTTGGAAATTATAATTTTGTGTTTTATTAGCTTAAATGTAATTTATATGTGCAGCTATCAGCATATTGTATAATCCTATTATTTAGGCTGATTATAATCTCTTAATTTTCCCTACCCAACCCACTTTTCCATAAGCTTCCTTGAATATGAAAAGCTTGTACAGTGTGTCATCTAATAGAGCTTTGTATGCTTCTTGTTTTTGAATTGCATTACTTTTACTTCTTTTGGAATTGCATACCTGAAAGAAAATGACATGGGCTTTAATTAACAGCAATGTCCATTACAAAAACTTGCTCAAAATAATTTTTGAAGCATACACAGGGATGTGAACTAAATATTTGCATATGGTTCAAAAGTAGGACAGCCCTTTGAAATGGCTGCACCAACATGTTCAAATTAGTTCTTGGAGATATGTTGTAGTGAAGTGAACATGTGAAGACTTGCTAATTCTTTCATCAGAATTATTTCACAATATTGCAAAACTGAAAATATCCAAATAAGTAAAGTTTGCTTGTCTTTTTGATGAAATAACCTGGACCCACAATATTTGACCGTATAAAGTACATAAAAATATGCTTCAGTGTTCTTTATGTTGTTTGATTTTATTATGAAAATTGATACGCATTTTCATCACAAATGTTAGTATAACGGCAATTTCCAGGTTATGTAAGTGTTGTTTTATGTAACTCTGGCAATATGCAAATGGGTGAGACCATCATCTAGGCATGAACAGTATAGCATGTAACCCCATGTGCAAAAATTGGTTTATGTTACTGTTAAGATAGATTTAAGATTTATTGCTAATTTCATGATATTGAAATCAGAACAATATACTGTACTTGTGCAAAGTGGAGTGATTCAGCTTTGTAATGTGCTTTTTCTTGGTACAGATTGACCTTGGCATTTCAGAAGTAACTTACACATTTCCTGAAATATATCATAGAGAACAGGAAGTTGGTTGAATTACATTTCCAGCCTTTGGAAAATAGACTTGGAGAGCTGTTGTAGACATTAAGTTCAACAGTGGGATGGTTTTCTAGCAACATGCCGTATATTGTGCCCACAAAGGCTTTGACTGGCTAGCCAGACCCCCTCCAAAAGTAGCTACTGGTTTTGAAATTGTTTGCCTGATTGAAGAAGAAAATTATTACTGTTATATACTTGCATCTAAACCTATCCACAAATAAGTTGACCAAAATGCCATGAAAAATGTGCCACCTGAGGATAGGCCATTATTTGGAATTTTCATAAATTTTAATTTCATAATTAGATAATCCACAAGTGGCACATTTTTCAGTTAAAAATGTAAGAGTTTGTCTGTAGATGGGCTTGTAGTATATGTGAAAATAAATGGGATACACAGCCAGTCCTTGATTTATGACTGCAATTGAGCCCCAAATTTCTGTTAAGTGATACATTTGTTAAGTGAGCTTTGTCCCATTTTATGACCTTTCTTGCCAAAGTTGTTAAGTGAATGACTGTAGTTGTTAAGTTAGTAACATAGTTGTTATTGAATCTGACTTCTCCAATTGACTTTACTTGTCAGAAGGTTACAAAAAGCGATCACATGACCCTGGGACACTACAAATGTCATAAATATAAATCTGTTGCCGATACATGTGGAATATGCCGATACATACAGATACTCTATTGTTTTAATTAATTTAAATATACATTTTAATTATTGGCTCAATTTGAAAAGTAGCATCGCCTGCCTACCAAATGTGACCTAACACCAGAACACAAGCATTCTGTTGCTTATCTGCTTGATGTTTGTGCAAAAAGTACATTCTTCTCTAGAAAAAAAAAGATACAGTAGATTAAATTAAGTGAGAATGCATTGTATTTAGATGGTGCACAGAATTTCCTAATAGCTTGTGAGGATGAGAATGAATTTGTGAAGTTTAGGTAAGGAAAGTCAAAAACTGAAGATACAACTACCCTAAATTGTGCATTGCC